GCAGCCATAGCGCCTGAGTGTGCATACGCTAGACTTCATTGTAATAAGACGCTGAGGAGTTTTCAATCAATTTCCAAAGTGTTCTCGGATTAGGTGTTGGATTGTATCCCGGGTGTGGAGATTTGCATTATGAAGTGTGAAGTTGTGAGATTGGGAGAAGCAGTGCATATTTGCGAGGTCATCGCAGTTTCATGCACTGAATTACGAGGACGTATTCAGAGAAAAGACTTGCCCCCACGGAAGTAACACACGGCAGACGGCTGTACAGAGCAGCTCATCGACCAGTGCCCAGACTCTGGGCCTGTGCATTTTGAACCATATGCATGCACAGCAGCTGTTCTACCTTGATATCGTGGAGACCCAGTTCGACATGATCATGGGCATGCCTTAGCTCAGCGGTAGGGGTTGAGACCCTATCTGTCACGGTTTGGCCATGTGATTCCCTATTCTTCCTCCCGAGTCCCCACCCTTCGCTCAGCTGTCACCTGATTCAGACTTCACCTTGTTGGGGTCTCCACACGAATCTCTCATGCCCTAAAGCCTGTCTCTTATACACATCTAGATGTGTATAAGAGACAGAGCATGGGCAGAGGCGGAGAGGCCTTGCTCTAAACTCAGAACTACCGTCTTCACCCGAATAGAACGCCCAGTCATTATAGCTGTATTTGGCACAACTTTCGGTCCACATGCAGCGATAATGACCGGGCGTTCTATTCGGGTGAAGACAGGAGGTCTTAACACAGGTCTCCCAGAGCCTCAAGCAGACCTCTTCAGGCTTCAAGTTAGGACTTCTCTCCTGTACTGTGAATGGCCTGCAGGGATTCAAGAGGGGTATCCATGAAAGTCTTTTTTGAGAGGGTAAGAGGGTATACAACAACAGAGTTTGTGTGCCATTCTCGTTCTCGAGACCCAGAATTACCTAGGCTGAACAGGACCTTGGATATATGCTCGTTCTACACCCAGAATTACCTACCGTCTTCACCCGAATAGAGCGCCCGGCAATTATTGCCGTATCTCGACTGCAAGTTGCACCAAATACAGCTATAATGATGGGCGTTCTATTTGGGTGAAGATGGTAGGCTAAACAGGACCTTGGATATATATGCAAGGTCACATAAAGTTTGAAAGACAACTCTATCTACCGGCGACCAAACAAACAGGTCATTTAAGTTGATCTGATTGTGTATGCCAAGAATCATTGAATAATATGACTATTTCCGTCAGAAGCTCACCAATCATGACCATCCACTCGCACATTCCAGCCAGCTTCCTGAGCATCAACAATTGCCTCACCAACAACTGCAGCATGGTGCATCAGCATCTTTGGAATACACCCGACATTCACAGAGGTGCCTGTTCTAGATCAAACAGGACACAAGCCAGCAAGCAAGTATCAGGAATTGGGGCTTGGCTGTTTTTTCCCCTATCACTAGATCCCTGGTCAACCCTGGTTAACCTATCCACCAAAGTTGAAGGCGAGTTTTTGGGCAGAAATCAGAATTCACCCTCATATGGATGTGGGTTCAAGGTGGCATTCAGAAGGAGAAGAAATTTGAGCTGGAGGAGATGTTTGATGGGGAGATTCTTGGAGAGGCATACCTGTGTTTTGAGTCATTTCCATCTCCCTCTTCTTCCTCCACGGTTTCTTCCGCCTCTTCTCCCTGGATTTGTTTGTGGATGCTGAACAGCAGGGAGAACTCTTCTGTGCATGATCTCCCTCACTGCTCATCTCACTTTGTGTAGATTGATGTTGCTTGCCTTTCTTACTCCTGGTGTGGTGTGCCATCTTTTTCTTGATATTATGTCATGTTCATTCATGTGTAAGGATTCCACAAGGGTTGCATACCCACCGACCGCCGACGCCAACCGGGGGTGGGCACGGGGGGGTTATGGGGGGGTATGGGGGGGTATAGGGGGGGTAGGGGGTTATGGGAGGGGGGGTGGGGGGGGGTATAAGGGGGGTGTGAGGGGGTGGGGGGGGTGGGGGGGGGGGGGGTGGGGGGGGGGGTGAGGTCGTTGGGGAACGACTTACCTTTTTCCTCTGCTGCTCCATCTTCTCCTCCCCTATCTTGCTCTCGTAAATCTATCACTCCTCCAGTTTTTCCTCCTCCGTTTCCTCC